ATTTCTTTTGTTCTATATTAATCCTAGTAATCTTAATAGTTTTTAAAATGTATTCCTGCAAAAATCAACATTATTTAATTATGAGTGAGCTAGCATTAGCTTCCCAGGGCTTTGGCAAAACCAAGCTCTCTCTCCTGTCTGTTGGATGCTCTTTTTCTCTCTCCTTATTTTAGCTTGCCACCAAAAAATACTCAAACTAACTATAATTATTCAATTGAATTTTTAAATCCTATTTCTTAAAGTAAAACATTAGGTAGATGTTTTATAATTATCTTACTTAAAAATTATGTTTTGTACATCTATACAATAAAATACCATGCAACTACTTCAAAAGAAGGAAGTTTATCTTTGTTTTATAATGTGTATATGTCTGCAATATATTATGAAGTAAAACAAAAGGGACAGGCTGGAGCGCATGTGGTAGACACAGTAAAAATCAATTTTCCTCATTCACACATATTTATGTAAAAGTCCAAAGAGATGTAAGACAAAATATAAGTACCGGTTGTCTGTGGGTGGTTAGGATTCCAGCTGATTTTTATTTTCTTTGTTAACCTTTTATAAATGCATTCTGGTAATGAACAGATATTGATGTTGTCATTGGAAAAATGTATTACATTAAAATCAGTCTTTAATGGATGGCATTGAGCATGGTGGAAATGATGGTGATAAAATAGATTGCTATCTGCTGAAAGTGTCATGAAATTCTTTCTCTCCCGTTAGAGGATAATTCTTAAATCTCATAAAATCTGAGTGAAAACCAAAAGGGGGAACTTGATTCTCATGAAGGCAGGGCCTCTACCTGTACCCCAACAGGCTATACCTCACTTTCCATCCAAAGTCCAGTGATCCCTTGCCAGCTGCTCCTTGGGTAGGGTGGTTCTTCCAGCAGGGACTCATTACACTTAATCCATGACACTTTTCCGTGGTTTTACAGCCCTTACATCTACTACAGTTTTTCTTTTCTCCTCATTCTGATGTATGAAACTTTCCAGCAGATTTTGACTCCATGTCCAGTTGGACACCAAGCCTTACCTCCCCTTTCTTTGTAATGTCCATGCCCCCATCACCCTCAGCCATAACCAGTCAGTAGACTCTTGTCCTCCACTGCTTAAGGAAATATAAGATCCCAAACAGGTATTCCTCCTCTCTTTCCTCCACCTTATTTATTCACAAGTCCACCCAATTTGTCTTTCTAAGATGTTATTTTATATATGTTACTCTTTTGTTGAAAACCTGTAACTCTCTCTGACATGAAGAAAAAAATCCAAAGCTCAGAATTCAAAGCCCTCCATAATCTAATCTCACCCCTTGGACAGCTTTGTCTGGCTCCAAGCACCTCCATAAACCCTCTGTTCCATGGTAACAACTGACTCACTGAGTTGGCCTTGAACTTCAGCATTCCAACTGATGGCTCTTACAGTTTCCTCTGCTTGGAATGACGTACCTTGTGGTTTCCACCAGACTCACCTTTACAATATGAAGCCAAGTTTAGGTTCCCCACTGACTTGATCCCTACACCTCCTCCTTTCCTAAAATCCTGGGCTACCTACTCATTTAGTTCTGTGCCTTATGTTTCTTGACTCCTTTATGGTATGCATGGATGTTTCTCTTGAGCAAAATAATAAGTGCCATAAGAGCAAGAGTTGTGTTTTATCATTTGCATTTTAAAATCACCTAAAACTGGGGCACCTGAGTGGCTCAGTCGGTCCGACTCTTGATTTTGGCTCAGGTCATGATCTCAGGGTCCTGAGATTGAGCCCCGCACAGGACTCTGCACTGGGCCTCTGGTCTGCTTGAGATTCTCTCTCTCTCCCTCTGGCCCTCCCTCTGCTTGCATGCATGCCCACTCTCTCGCTCAAAAATAAATAAGTAAAATCACCTAAAACTACGCCTCTTCAGTAATCCCTTAAGAGTTGGCACTCAATAAATATCTCTTGATTAATTGAAACATTAAACAGCATGTTTTCTTTTTTATTTTATTATGTTATGTTAATCACCATACATTACATCATTAGTTTTTGATGTAGTGTTCCATGATTCTTTGTTTGCGCATAACACCCAGTGCTCCATTCAGTATGTGCCCTCTTTAAAACAGCATGTTTTCTAAGCATTTGGGGAGAGAAACATGTACAAAGGTATAACACTCCACATTTGAATTTTTATATATAATAATTAATAAAATCCAACACAAATCAGTACCTGAGTTAACCTCTATGCAAACCACAAAAGTAAGTTTACCTTTTGCTCAACTTCCTACTTCTGAAAATGTCCTTTTCTCATTGAGGGTCAGTGTTTAGATGAAGCATTTAAAAAGTTTGCTCAAAACACACAATTATGGCTTGCCTCCAACAGAAATAATGCGTGCCCCTGCTTCTCTTTGTAAATAATTGAATTTGCCTGTGAAGTTCAAGAAGTTCAAGATTTCTTTTTGTGTGTGAAACTGACGGCTTCTGTTTTCTCTTTATATGCAGCGGACTCTAATCTGAGGCAGAAGCAATGCTGTGCAATTGGGATTTGGTGAGCAGGGAGGATAATAGAGATTTTCAAGACTTCCACAGAGGAGTTATTTTTAAGTACAGAGAATGCCTGTCCCCACGCTCAAAGAGCCTTTAGAAAGTGTTTCTGGAATTGAAAAGCCGCGGGGGCAGGTCCCATCACCTGGGGGAGTAGTGCCGGTCCGCAGGGCGTTGCTGCCACCTGCTGCATGCACGCGGCCTTGGAGGGGCTGTCGCGCGAGGCTTGTCGAGCGGGGCTTGTCGCACGGGGCTTGCCGCTGTAGGACACCAGGTGAGCTCCATTAATATTCTGTGGGCATCTGAAATGTTTTCTTCCCTTAGAGCCTGGGTGAAACCCAAAGGAAAATGAGTCAAATCTGACGAGTCCGGGCCACCGAGGTTTCTAGCTCTAAGATCCATGAACCAAGCTCTAAGTCAGACCCCGAGAGGGCAGGTTTGTCCAGCAGCCCCTGCGTGGGTGCCTTGGGCAGCCCAAGCGCAATGGAAGGCAAGGATTCCAAGTGTCTGTAGCTCTGGAAAATAAGTGATGTTTTCCCTTATTCTGAATTTGAGGGATTTTTTTTTTTTTAAAGATGTTTTCGCTTAAAGCACTAGGAGACAGGAGACCACTAACTGCTTCAAGAGGCGGTATTGTTCTTAGAGAATTCGATAAGTTTAGATTTTTATGGATTTCACGTAGGTAGATCCTCTTAATAGGACAGGTGGAGTGAGGTGACTGAAATCCTTTCCCAGGCTTGTCATGTGTCCCAGCGGAACGGGAACACCAACCTGCTGATCAGGATCTCTGCGCCTGCGTTTCCCACTCTTCTCCATCACTGTGATTTACGAGAATTTCCAGGGGTAAAACAGAAGAGACGAAGGCAGTCAGAGCAGCGATGTCTCCTTTCAGTCTTAAGTCTTCGCACTCCCCAGCCTCCCTGAAAACTTCCCTGTCAACACCACCTGACCCAACACCCCCAGGGATCTGAGACTAAGTGTGGAGGTGGGGATGGGGGTGGGACTAAAGGTCTGGGGAGCCCTGAGCCAGGAAATAAGTACCTCCATCTTCGGGCCTTTTTAAGAAACATCATGAGCTTTGTAGTGAGGAATTGGTATGACAGTTGTCATGGCAAGTGTTCACAGTGGTGACACAGAGGGTAGCCTGGTGTCGAGGGTAGAGGGTAGTCTGGACATCCAGGATGGAACCCCTGTTTCACCACATGCAAATCTCTGTTCCCCCAGCTAAATTCTGGTCTTCTAAATGGCAAAGGTGATGCCTCATGCATCATCCCTACTCCAATCCCAAGTCCTCGTACAGGGACAGATCAGTATCTGCATGATAGGTCAGGATATCATGATGTCATGACAATATACGTGATGACAACGTGGCCAGAATTATCTCCCGGTGACCCCGAAAGAACGACCACCTCAGGAATACAGCTCAGCCTTCTTGTTTGTCTTCAGGCTTGCTGGCTGCTGCCTTGATGGTAGTAGTGAAATTAGGGTCATGGGATGTTTCACCAATTGTTCATATGGTTGCCTGTAAACACGTTTATTTATTTGGTTTTATTCTTTGTCCATCAACCCTATGCTGCAGTCCTGAGCCTAATGCTTGTTCTCTTAAGTTTGGAAGGCTATTTTATCTCAAGCTGGAAAACCAGCATGTGGCATCTTACCTGGCAGGGAAGTCATCATATACTAGGAGTCGCTTCCCTAAACCCCTTTCTCAGTCCTCTGTAAATGGAAGTAATGGGGCAGATATCACAGGCCTGGTAGCTGGCTGGGGTAGGAGGTTCTCTGCCTTTGGATTCAGATTATTTCAGCCTTACTCTATCTTGCTTTTGGCTGGGACACAGACAAGTTCTTCTGCTGTCAGAAAAAAAAAAAAATCCTCTGGCTGGTAGGGTGGGAGATTTCCCTGCCTGACCTCCAGCCTAGCCCAGACAGGGGGTGGAAAAGGAGCCCTCCCTTCTCAACACCACCACCCCACCTCCACCCCCACCCAGGAAATGTGGGCTTTCCTGCATTAGGGGTGACAATAAAATTCGGTTTGATAGCTGATGTTACCCTCCGTTACTTTTCAGATTTTATTAAAATTAAATGTGTTAATTCTTTGTTCTTTCACCCAGGAGCCATTCTGGAAAGAAAACGTATTTTAGAAGTGAACTGAAAAACTGTTATGAAAGACTCGAAGCTCACATTTGTTAAATGACTTCGTGTTCTTGAAAAGAAATGTATAAAAAGCACATTATGAATCGCTCTGCATGATTTCCTTTGTTTGGATTTTAGAAGCAGCATGACTGACACAGAGATCCTGAAGGAGAGAATCTTTGGATCCTGAGAAGTCTTTTAACGAAGGTGATACACAAAATTTCAGAGAACAATTTCAACATCGTTCTGGTGAAGGTTATACTTAGCTCTGAACCACATTACTTTCCTGTCTACGTTTCATTTCCTGGGGTCTTGCCAAGTGATAAGCAGACCCAGGCGTGCAGTAGATTTGGGGTTTTTCTGCACAAATAAGGTAGCTGGAGTTTGCTTCAAGGCATCAGTTGACTTCCGTGATTATGGAGATGCTGGTGTAAGGCCTTCAGGAGACGATGGAGAAAAAATGGACCTACTGTGCTGTCTGTTCCATCATCCAGATACATTTCATCAGGGGTAAGGCTTCCAGTTGTCTTCTCTTGTCAAATAGGCAGCTTTAGGGGCGAGGGGGGGGGCCTCTGTTCGTTTAAAAAATGCGAGTGACTACTGCTGACATTGATCACCGAAGGCAGATCGTCGCTAAGGTTTTCAGTTACAAATTTAAGTGGCAGCTATCAGAGAGATGTTAGAGTCTAGAAATGATTACTAATGAACACTAAAAACGAGAAGAGAATGAGTGGTTTGTGCCACTGCTCTGAGACATTTTCACCCATTTCATTCCTAAGAGAATCTCTGGAGTAACTGGGAAATTGTGCTTCTTGGAAGTGAAATGCTCCCCACATGGTCATCAGAACAACTCCGGAATACTAAAAAAATCACAAAGCCCATCAGTGCTGTGGGATCCTTGCTCAACTTTTTCTCTCTCTCGAGTATCCTTTTTCTTTTGTATATAAGAAGTATTACTCCTCCAGATATGAATGTCTTTGGGAGTTGAACATATGTTGAATTTTAATGAGGCATGTGTAGGTATGGACCTGGAAGACAGAGTAGGGTCCTTACAACCGGTGCCTTCAGGGCCTATTTAAAAATAGCGGGAGGAAAGATTAGTTCTGCATTCCATAGCCTGGGGGAATTATAGGAAGCCTGAGTGTCTTAAGAATTAACTATGCTTTACAGATAGAGCTACAAAGGCTTTAAGGAGAATTTCTAAATTAAAGGAGACTTTGGAACCCAATGCTGTGGATAGAATCAGAGGCATATTACCAGGCGAAGGAAAGCATACAGGGAGAGATATTAAACTGTACTAACCTCTGCCTACCCAAACTTTTGAATCCAAAGAAGTGTAATAATTCCCATTTGTCAAGTACCTTAGAGAGCCTTGTTTCTTCCCCGTTGCTTGTCATCTTTTTATCTTTTTCTTTTGTGAGCTTCAGTGGTACTTGTCATAATAGTATATCATTCCTGGAACAGTGTTCCATTAACGCTAAAATTGAGGCCTCCACTATTGAAGGCATGTCAAAGGCTCAATGCTTAACATATTTTAAGTGCGTTGTACCATGTGGTCAGAGAGATGATGGGAGAGAATCTTCTTCTTTTGTGTCTCATAGTTCAAAGTGTTGATGATAGACGTTGGGGACCATAGTTTATCTTTAGTGGAAAGTCTACCTGAGGTATTTTCTCCCGTCCTCCCCTCAGGAGCCCTAACTGCATGGACATGAAGGTCTTTTTGAGCTCCATAGTGAATGTCAAATTTCTTACTCTTCTCAACCAGTTTGGGAGGCAGTTTGGACGTTAATGAAGGTTAGAGAAAGAGCACGGACTTTAGGCAACCAAGTGCATGTTCTTTTACTGAGGTGTGACTTGAAGCTAGTCATTTAATCATGCTGTGCCTCAGTTTCCTCTTTGATAGAATGTTGACAATATCATTCTGTGGTATGTGAGGAGGATTAAGTAAAATAGTCTATAGAAAAGCCTCTTGTGAACATAGATTTTTAAAAACAGCTATACACATATCAGTTATTTTTTCTGTTTCAGAAAATATTATTGGTGTGTTATATGCAGCTGTTGATTCATAAAACCAAAAAAAAGTCAGTTATATTCATTGTAAAAATAGTTATCATAAGTTTGCTGGTGGGCTTCAGTTTCTAGAGAGGCTTAATTTGATTCACAGGTAGTCAGAGAACTTAAATTATCCTTTGGACAGCCCAACAGACAAAGAGAGAAATATCTCTCTAGTGTCCTTAAGCAAATGCCTCCTCATTTGTACTGAGTCTCTGCTTCTCTACTGAGACTGTGCACAGGCTCCCTCCCACACGTAAGGCAGCCAGAGAGAAAGTTCCTCAGTTGCTCCCTCACCTCACCAAAGTGACCAAGGTTTTTAAATAAGAGTCATCCCACATGAATCATGTAAACTAATGGCTCACGTCCTTCCTTTTCAGGAGTATGGGAAAAAACATCCAATACAGAAGACATCTATGCTTTCCCTGGCTCTGATGTCAACCTCACCTGTCAAACATGGAAGAAAGGCTTCTTGGTGCAGATGCAGTGGTCCAAGGTCACTGATAAGTTGGATCTGATTGCCCTTTATCATCCACAGTATGGCTTGCACTGTGCTAATGGCGGTCCCTGTGAGTCACTGGTGACTTTCACAGAAACTTCCAGAAATGTGTCCACGTGGACTCTGCACTTAAAGAACGTGTCCTCCTCACTCACTGGGAAGTATGAGTGTGGCTTTACTCTGTATCCGGAGGGTGTTCAGACTAAGATCTACAACCTACTCATTCAGACAAATGGTAAGCATAACTGTAGAGGGAAAGGAGCACACCCTTTCATTCAGCTCTCAGTCATTAGACAGATATGTATTTTGAGCCAACCATGTGCTAGACATGGTGCTAAGTACACAGAGGTTGAGTAGAAAGAGGTATTGCCTGGAAAGAAAGACAGGAATTAATCAAATAATTCCACAAATAAATGTAAAAGTGCAACAGTGATTAGTGGTAAGGATAAGTGGAAATGGTCTTGTGAAAGAGCATGTAATAGAGGCCAGGGAAACTGACCCTGAGAAGGCAACACCTGAGCGGAGGTCTGAAGAAGGGGTAGACATTAACACCATTTAGGAGCTGGGAGGTTTGTGGGTGATCCAGGGAGAGGGAAGAGCTTGTGAGAGGGGCTTTGTTGTGTTTGAGGACATGGGACAATGCCAGCAGGCTTGGCACAGAGGTGAAGGGAGGAGGTGGGAGACATGGCAAGGACCAGATTGTGTCAGATCTTGTCAGCCATATTTGAAGGTTTGCTTTTTATCTAAGAGCCGTAGGAAGACATTGAAGTATTCACAACAAAAGGATGGGACGAAATTTATAGCCCAGTTGTACTTGTGTCAGAAAAAGATCATGCCAGCTTCAGTAGGAGAATGGAACAAAAATGGGCAGGAGGGAAAAGGTGGGCACGAGCTAGGAGACAGTTCCAGTAGCCCAGAGGAGACAGAGTGGTAATTTGGGTAGACATGGAAAGAAATGACAAATTGAATGCTTCGGGCATAACATAGGCATGACTTGCTAATAGAATGGATATAGGACAATGGTAGTATGAGTGAAGGGGAGAAAAAATTTTAAGGTGACATGGGAGAAGGTGCCATTCACTGAAGGCAGAGGGAACAGAGCAGGTTTGTGGGGGGATATATGCAAGTAGCTTTGGATATATGGCGTATTTAGTATTGGGCAAGCAAAGGTACCAAGGAGGCTGCTGGACATGTAGCATTCACACATATGTGCCTTGGAGAGCTGCATTTGGACGCAGGAATCCTAGGCTTAAGTTCTAGCTCCTTTCTGGCCAGAAATAAATTTCACCTAGGGCCTGTCATGTACATTCTCTGAGCCCATCTGGAAAATGATGATAATAATGCCTACCCTAAATTAGTTGGTCCTACAGTAAATGATTTCCATTTATACTAATGGAAAAGAATGAAAATGAAAGCCAACAAATGGAAAATGCACTGGAAATGAAATGTTTTTTAATGCAGGGGCAAAGTGGGCTGGTAATGTAAGAGAAAAACAACAAAAATTTACTCATGAAGGCTGTGCTAAAAGAGGCCTGAGCATGGAACTACCCAGGACAGGCAACAGGGATGGATTTATTACCTAATCTCCATTTCTTATCAAGAGATAAGACCATGGTGTTGGAACAGTCCACCTGGAAACCAGGAGCTCCTCCACCACTACTTTAGGATGCCCTATTCCCATTGCTGTTTTCCAGGAAAAAAAGAAACACTTGAGTTCAAAGTGGGGATGGCATGGGGGTGGGGTTGAATGAAGAGAAATAAGGAGACCTGTGCAGAACAATGCTTCGCTACACATACTTTGGAGTCAGGTAGCCTGGATTTGAGTGTTGGCTCTGTTGTCAAGTTATTTCAAGTCTCTAAGCCTTTGTTTTCTTATATAACAAATATGGATAATTATAGTACCGACTTTACAGGTACCATTATTTTGATGATTAAATGGGATAATTTGTGTAAAGCACTTAGCATAGTTCCTGCCAGAGAGTCAGAGTTTGGAAAAGGGTAGTTTTCATTAATAAGAGTAATAACAATAATGAGTGAACTCTATTTATCAGTTCTTATTTAAAAGGGGTCCTCCTCCCTCTCTTTTTATATTTGCCTAATTTAGAACCCAATGGAACATTGAACATATATTAGCACAAGTACACATTGACCTTGGCTTTAGATAAAGATTTTGTACCTTCTGCCTAAATCTATAAACTGTACTGTTGCATCTCCGAGGACCTAAAGCCCACCCCATCAAGAATTGGCAACATGGATTGATGTACCCTATAGGAAATAAGGGATATGGGATAGCTCAACATGAGGACAGCACTGGAGAAGCGGTAGTATGTTACCCTGAAAGGAGAGTGGTATTTCCTTTAAGGAATGCATATTTCTTAAAATAAAGGGCAACTCAAAGAAGCCAAATTTGTAACTACTAAAAACTGCAAATTTCTGTAGAGGCAGAAGCCAAGTCTACATGCTTTGTGGTTGGAAATTTCCCAGTCTTCTTTGCTGTTGGTCAGCTGGACTAGATTGGGGGGAAAAAAATGGCTTCAATGTTAACGAAATAGTTCTGATATTGTGTACTGAGTACAAAGTCATTACAGAGTGACCAAAAGTGTAAGCCTGGTAGAGAGTGAAGGGGTAGACACTTAACTCAGATGAGGCAATTGCCAGTCAAAAGCCCTGTCACATCGCCACCAATGACACACCTTCCCCCCCGGTATTCCTTTGATCTTCACTCACTCTTCTCACTTGTGCCATGTCCCTTGTACATCCCTGGAGTCTTCGTGTTCACAAGCTAGTTGGGTAAGCAAAGCACACACGAAGTGTAAACACTTATGAAGCACGTGAACAAAAGCAAATTGAGATGGTGTAGAAGAATCTAAATATGAAAATCTGAAGGACCACAGGCATTGGGACCTCTTGTCTCCTTTCTGTTGTCTTCTGAGCCATTCTCTTCCGTCTGTTCACGAAACAGTGTATGTCTAAATTCTGTCCTGATGTTCCTGGAAGGCCTGAGAATGGATTCTGTACTCTTTTCACAATATTTTGTTCCTTTGTGTGAGCTAGTGCTCTGAGGCTGTGGATGAGGGTAGAAATTACAATGAACAGTTGGGCATTTGCTTCTTTTTCATTTTCACCTGACAGGGTTTCCTCCTGGGTTAGCTTTCAAGTTATCCCAAGAAAAGCAGTTTTCTGAGTTAAGCCCTTAGTTGCTGTATTTAATCCAGATTTCCTGGATTTTCTTTTCTTATATGAGTGCCTGAGACTGTATGATTTTTGATGTATTTAACATTTTTTTTATTATTATGTTATGTTAATCACCATACATTACATCATTAGTTTTTGATGTAGTGTTCCATGATTCATTGTTTGTGCGTAACACCCAGTGCTCCACGCAGAATGTGCCCTCTTTAATACCCATCACCAGGCTAACCCATCCTCCCACCCC